AGCCGCACCCGCTCAGCCACGCCAAAGCCCGCCAAGTCCAAGGGCGCCAAACTGACGGCACCTTGGAAACTACGTACTTTAACTGACTCAAGGGACTAGAAGGGCCAGACACCCGTTTGAACACAACTGCGACCCATTTGAATCTCGGCGCAGCCCACCCAACGTCGTCCTTGGTGGAAATATATTAACAAGATAGTTAATGGCATTTTCGTCTGCTGTGTTTGATGCACTCCCTGAGCGGCTGCATGGCAAGTTTGCCCTGCAAAATCTTTAACATGGCAAGAGCGCAAATTGGCAAAATGGTTGGGAGCTCAATAGACGCGATCCGCGTTCGAGACCGTAACCCTCACCTCCTTAACCCACACTGCTTGAACGGCTGCGCTCGCTTTCCGACACGCGCGCGTTACGATTTGCCCACCCCCTCAAAGGTCTCGTAATCGGGCCGGAGTTGGCGAACCCCAACGCCAGGCCAGCCCTACCGATGCGTTTGCACAGCGGGCGGCGGCGACCGCAGACGGGACAGCGACCCCCCCAGCGGCGGCTTCGCAGGCCGGCCAGCGAGCTGCAAGATTCAACCGCGGCGGTTGGGCAGGAGAGGGGCGGCGGTCTGCAGCCATGAGGACGTCGCAGGGGCCCGCGAAGCCGGAGGGGCGCGGTGTGACGTTCTCCTTCTCGAACGTGCCCCTCCCCGGCGTGGACGTCTCCGGCCCGGGGGGCAGGAGGCGCGGCAGCAGCCCGCTGGCCTCCATGGGCGCCTCCGCGATCGCCGTGCCCAGCGGGCTGCCGGGCATGGACCCAAGATCGCACTTCACGTTGCAGGAGGGGTGTGTCGGATCGGGCAGGGCGGAGTCGAGAAAGGGCGGGAACCCGGTGGCGTGGGTGGCTCAGGGGGTGGAGGGGGCGCTGGACGATCACCTTTTCAGCACGTTTCGAGAGATGGACGCCAGCGGGCGGGGGCTGGTGTACGAGGCGGATCTGTTGCAATACGCCGCCAGGCACGGCCTGCCGACGGAGTACGTGCGGCACTTCATCCAGGCGGTGATTAAGGCCGCCTCCAGGGCCGTGAATAAGGAGCCCAGCCGGCGGTCGTTCGACTACAAGGCCTTCCGCGCGTACGCCAACAGCCGGGAGGCCGCGCTGAGGAGGGCATTCGACCTGTTCGACGTGGATCGCGACGGCAGCATTGACAGCGCCGAGCTGGAGCGCGGCCTGTCGCACGTGCGCGTGTGCTGCCCCAAGTCGGGGTGCGTGTACAAGAACAGGCAGCAGTGCGTGCGGGACCTGCTGGGGCGGGTGGACTTCGACGGGAGCAAGTCCATCGAGTTTTGGGAATTTAGGAAGTTCTTCTTGCTGCTGCCCCAAGACGACATGCTGGTGGAATACTGGCTGAGCGCACGGTCGGGCGCCAAGTGCGACATCGCCGGCTGCGTGGTGCTGCGGGGGGATGAGAAGGCGCGCGGGAAGCCGTGGGGCCACCTCTTCGCGGGCGCCATGGCGGGCGTCACCTCCAGGACGGCCACCGCGCCTCTGGAGACGCTGCGCCTGCGCGGCATGACGGGCGCCATCCCCCTGGGCCTCTCCCCCATGGACGCCGCCAAGTCGCTGGTCGAGCAGTCCGGCTGGCGCGCTCTCTACAGGGGCAACCTGACCAACGTGCTGCGCTCCGCGCCGCAGAAAGCCCTAGACTTCTTTGCCTTCGACGCCTACAAGACCGCGCTGGCCTCTGCGGTGCCCGCCGGCCCCCTGCACAGCCTCACGGCCGCCGGCCTCGCGGGCGCCACCAGCAACTTCATCCTCTACCCCCTGGAGGTGGTGCGCAGCCGCCTGACCGTGGACGCCACCGCGCGCTACCGCGGCGTGGCCGACGCGCTGGTGAGGATCGTGCGGGAGGAGGGCGCGCCTGCGCTGTACCGGGGCGTGGGCCCCAGCGTGCTGGCCATCATTCCCGAGGCCGCCATCACCTACGGCCTGTTCGACCTGCTGAAGAAGTCCTACACCAAGCTCTCCGCCGGCCGGGAGCCCAGCATCGTGCAATCGCTGTCCTTCGGCGTGTTCTCGGCGTTCATGGGCCAGGTGGTGGCCTTCCCGCTGGAGACGGTGTCCAGGCGGCTGCAGGTGCAGGGTGGTGGGGAGTTCATGGGGGCGCTGAACAATGTGCTGCGGGAAGGCGGGCCCAGGGCGCTGTACAGGGGCATCGGGCCGGCGTGCCTGCGGGTGGTGCCCATGGCCGTGGTGTCGTTTGGGACGTACGAGGGCGTGAAGCTGTGGATCAACGCGCTGGAGGAGAGGGCGGACGCGCGGCGGGCCAGGAAGGAGTGCGGGATGTGTCCGCAGCAGTGCTATGGAGACTGAGTTCGAATTGGGGAGAGGATTTGGGATGGAAGGATTGGGGATGGGGGGATTGGGGGTTTGCAGCCTCCCGTGTCACAGTGAGTTCTTAGGCCAGCGTAGGACTGCGTGGAGAGCATTGTCAGACACCTTGTTGCGTGGGGAGGGTGCTGGGACTGGCGATGCCAAACATGGTTTGCGGTTTGAGGACCATGGGGGCCATTGCCAGGACCAGGGGGTGTTGTGGGGCTGTCCATCGTGACCACCCGTGCGTTGAACAGAGGGTGCACACAAACGAAGTTGTTGAAAAGCAATTGTAGTCAGTGGCGCGTCAGGAACTATTGGGTGGAGTGAAAAAGTTGCTGAAGATTGCTCGACTCTTTTTGTCAGTGCATTTTGGTGTGGACGAAAAGAAAACTTAATTGGTTCTGTGCCTTCTTTATTTGTTCTTCTGTCAGTGAATTTATTGTAAGTTTTCGATCATGCCTGTGGAAGAAAGTAACACTGCCTTTGTGGTGCATCCTGTGGTGGGATTGTATTGTGCTTTATGCTCCCAAGCAGCAGTCACACATGGGCGATCATAGGCCAACCTGCAGGAAACGGAATCAGGTGACAGCTCCGCATAATGTGTGCAACCAAGTGTACCAACATTGGCAAAGATGTTGCTGGTGCCGCACGCGATCTAGCTGTGGCCCATGATCCATGAGCTAAATGCACTTCAAATTGAGAAACTTGCTAAGAATTTTGCCCACGGAATTTTATACGCCTGATATCCAACAATGGTGGCAGAAAAGGACCTGAACCACAGGGCAGAATCTTGTCTGTCATCAGTCTTGGGCAGTGCAACAGAACAGATTCACTTGCTAATTAAAGCAAGTTGCACATCAAGGGTTTTGCAATGATCGGTACATTGATGTCAAAATCAAGTGGGTTGATGGCACCAGAAATCGCTTCTACATTTTAACAACAAGCAGCAGACGTCAGGAAGAAGCAAAGATTCATCCTGGCCATCGTCAAGTGCTCATCACCCTGTGACAGATGCACTGTGTTTTGAAAGCGTTCCGCATGGATGCTTTCTTTTGCACTACAGTTGCAGCACAACTCAGGAAGACCATTGCGGCATCGTGATGCACATTTCGGGCAACTTGTCACATGGGAATCAAAATGCTCTTCCGACAGCAGGGGCGCAACTTGCTTGCACACCAGCAACAACAACGAAAAGAGGATAATAAAGTACAAAGGCAACAGTCAGAGATCCAGCCAGTGCTGCAGATGAAATCAGCTCCCCTGGAAGAGGAAGCACTGGTGGTCAAAGTCGGAATTAGCACTTTCCCAGTGGAAATTCCTGGGCTTGAGGCTTTGGGTTGAAGAGATCTGAACAACAGTACGATCAAGCAAGCAAGGAATGGTGAAGACCATTGGGTAAAGGCAGGTGGCCTATGGCCTGTGGCATATGCGGCGATTGTGAATGTGCATTTAGTGGGTTGTGTTGTGGTTTTCTGCACTGCAAGATGAGTCTTCGAGTCTGCAGCAGTGCTGGAGCTGCGAACCTTGCTATTGCTATTGCCAACAATATCGTTCACTCCATCCCATTCAGCACATCTATTTCAAGGAAACCTGATCCCAACAGCCCATCTGGCTTAGTCGCCACAGGTATATACTGGTGTGTACAAAACAGTGTTCCTGATCCTTGCAGGATTAGCGCAAAAGAGTAAGGAAAACGCGCATCGTGCCGCAGTTGAGACATGCGCAAGTAGCGTGAACCACTTTGCAGGCACAGAATCTTGCACTGGAGGTCACAATCAGATTGCTTATCTGGTAACGATTTTCTGAGGCCATTGTTCAGTGACAGTGCGCCATTAGCTTTCCTTTCAGAATTCTTCCTTGTGCGGAGTTCCCTGTAGCTCCGTTGGCGGGGTTCCCAGCACAGTGCTCCAAATCTGGTACTGAAAAGTCCATTGATAGGCCTTGCTGGCACTTGGCGTGTTCTTCAGATTCCTCCCACTGAAGTTCTACGCAATAACGTCAGACACCCACATCGCCAGCACACAAGCACAAGCTACTAGCAACAAAATGCAAGAATTAAATTATCCTTCTCCCATCGCTCCCAGTGTTCCTCGCCCCATCCCGTCGTTGTTTCCCCACGTCCCCAGGCACACCAGCACACGGCAGTTATGGCTGCGCACACACCGCCCCCAGTGCTCTCTCCGCGCACCGCGCGTACTCTTCCACAAAGGCCTCGCACTGGAAAGCCAGGTGCGGCGCCCGCCCCCGGTAGCACTCCATGCACCTCTGCCGCTCCTCCTCGCAGGGCACAGGCCTCGCGGGCCGCACCTCCCTCCCCACCATCTCCGCGGCCATCGCCTCCACCTTCTCGCGCTCCTCCTCCTCCCGCTTGAGCAGTAGGTCACCCACGCGCCTGGCCCGCCCCAGCGCTAGTCTGATGTCCTTGTCCTTGCGCATGGCGTCCAGGGTGGCCTGGTGAACCTTGCTGATCGACTGTGTGGGCGCCGGCGGTGGCGCGAAGGCCGCCTCCCTCTTGATGCCCGCGAGCTGCTCCAGCAAACCGCGCGATATGGTGATCTGAAAGCGCTCCATCGCCGGGTGGGGGGTGGGGGACGCACCCTCCCGGTACGAGCAGTCCTCCCCGAGCGCTTGACCCTGGCTTCGGCACAGGTGCCTGTTGGCAGACTGCGTCAATGTTCAGGAGGTGGGAACTACGGTTAATGAAATAGATGCTGGTGCGGGAACGCCCGCAAAGAGGCAACCGCCCCAGCTAATCCGCGTTAGTGCAATACCTTGAATTTCACTGAGTACATCCAAGACACCGCTTTCTCGGGCAAATTCTAGGTGACGGCGGCACCAAATCCCAACAGCTTCTCTTTGCTGACAGCCGCTCGTCTGCCTATTCGCGTCCCAAGGAATCTCAGAGGTCACAAAACGTCCAAACGGCAATTCGCTAGTGTCGGAATGTAGCAGACCACCACAGGTCGCCTCGCTGCAGACATGTAGCCAATGTGCACCACGTGCTGCGTCCTATGAAACCCCTTTCTCTCAAAAGCCAATACTAAGTGCGAGCTACTAGACCACGGCCCATGTGCCAGCATCAAGAACAAAGTGGTGAGGCAAAGAGGAAATTGGATTCTTCACGTGACTTTACAAACACAACACAGCCAAAAAATTTGGTGGCTTACGGAGATCTACGCTTGTGGTAGGTAGTGTTTCTTCTGATTGATAGTATTCTAGCACGCTTTCTTCCATCTGCTAGCATTTGACGAGTCGTCAGATGCCCGAACATGGCATGGGGCATGCTGGAATCGCTTTAGAGGCAATTCGTGCTCCATACCAGTAAGTACAGTCTTGCAATAATCCATGCGATGTATGAACAATCGCAGCGCCCGAGAGCAGCAACATGGTTGCCAATATGGCTTGAAACTCCGTAGTACATTTAGCATTTCCGCAAATGACGCGACGCTCGGTCCCTTTGTGCGGAGCCAAAAAAATAATGAAGCGACGCTCCCACAAAGAAATATGGAATATAAAGGAAACGCTGCAGAAAAAAGCGACGACCATGGTTCCGACGCAGATGGTGGCAGCGTCCGAATGGCTTTGGGGTTGGGCTACACGTTGTTTGGAGCATTTGTGGGCGTTGGTCAGCGGTGTCCTAGTTGTCATATGTTGAAATGACCTCAAATCAAGTCCATTCATACATCTGCCGTTGATTCAAAAGCCAATATAAACGGTTGGAAAGAGGACAAAAGAGGTGATTTCATAACACAGGGGAAGAAGTTTTAAGTGGAGAAACCATAGGATAAAAAATGTATTTATTAGGATCACAGTTTAAGACTTCAACCGTCAGGAAACTGTGGTCCGGGGTTGGCAGCGCCATGTTTGGGGCATGCCAACGCCACGGCGCTAGTGTGACTAAACGATCTGTGAAATACTGGGAAGGATACAAGACCTTTTCTGCAAGGTGTTGCCAAGTACAAGAACTAACGACAGTCGCCAAAATGTCATGTTTGTCCATCCTGGCGGCGTGAACAATGTCCCAGACGAGCCGTCCGACTGAGGCTACCTTTATGTCCGGCCCAAGACCTGATTCCCAGCATCTTAGGGCCTGATCTGCGTCTGCAGCCTGCACAGCAGTGCGCGGTGCCCATCGTGGTCGCACCGCCTGCTTGCGGTCAGATGCGGTGTCCCACGATGGTGTGTACGGCTTATCAGAGCGTGGAGCGGTGCCAGACATCGCTCAGGTGTGGCTGCGAAGTGGAAATGTCCGACTCTAGCACAAGAGCTTGTGCCCCGTGGGTGACAAGTGCTGCTTTGGTAGGTGGAGGCCATCCCTCGGAGCTTGCATCATGAGTGGTTGGTTCGGGAGCGGCATCGCCCGTGCCGGGCATCCGAACACGAGGACGTGATTTGCAGGCTGGGAGCTGGACAGGAGAGGGAGACTCCAGCGGAGGCCAGGGCTCGATGTCGCGTCGAGGTCCATCATCGGAGGAGTACTGAGCGACGGCAAAGGCGGGAAATACAGCAGCGAGAGGACGATGATATGATGCCGGAGGCTGCTGAGCTGCAGACATACGATTGACTGACAAGGAGCTACTGATACGTCCAGCCAGCGATGGGATGGCGTCATAGTAACGTAGGATTGGTCCTCTGGCAGGCAGAACTTAAAGGAGGATCGTGGGGGGATCTGAACCATGGCAGGTGCACTATGACGTGTATTGGAGGAAAAAGAGTCTTTTCTTAGTCGGAGTTGTGCTGGGGAACGTTGGGAACAGCACCAAAGACAACAACGATGTACTGATGCACTGGTTTTAATACAAATACGAGGCGCTCCGTGGTGAGCGAGAGCCTCGCCGAATCCGTTAATTCCTGTCTGATCCATGCGCCTCTGGGCGTGCTGGCTGCCGTGTCGGTGTCAGCCTGCCTCCGCCCCTCTCGCAACAGCGCTGCTCCAGTCGGTCGGGGCTCCGTGTGGCTTCCTGTCGCCTTCTCGTCGCCGGCAGCGTCGCGTTGGGCGGAGGAGCACCCGGTGTAGTTTGCCTACCACCCCAGAGGGTCTGACAGGGCGCTGAGGCGAGCTCCGTTAACGGTCGATTCTACTCGGTCGCACATTCGGTCGGTTGGTAAGACCGCGCTGGGTTTGAAGGAGTGACGTGGTAGGTTATGGCGCGCTGCTTTCAAAAAATGCCAATGGCACAGGGAACGCTTTGCACAAATGTCGCTGCAGAGGCATGTGCACGGACGCTGGAGGCGCTTGGCCGCGAGCGCCACGTCGTGGATTGGGCTGCCAAACTCTTTCGATGCTGCTGAAAGATTAGGGTGCGTTGGGGTGAATGGGAACACCACAACCGTGGCGCTTTTGCTTCTGCGAATAGCTGAACAATCCCCGCGCTGTCGGCCCCCACGCCGTGTGCACAGTGATCGTTCCATTCATTGATTGTTAATTTGGCCACGGCCATATGCATATGGCGCCCACCGCTAAACTGTCCACACGCTGCCCGGACAACGCTGCAAATGTTCACGCATTTGTCGAACGCATTCAGACTGCCTGTGCATTCACAGGACGTCCGGGGAATTAGAGTTTCCGTGCATACCCCGGTCACATCCGAGGCCTCGGACGCTCAGGACGGGTCCGAGCGCCTCGGACACTTTGGAAATGTTCAGGGAATGCATGGAACCGTCCGCGAGCCTCAGGCGATTTTCAATGGCCCCTCGGACACATCCGTGCACAAGTGGACGTGTCCGAGGACCTCGGACGCTGCTCGGACGCCCCCTAGCGCCACCGTTTGAGCACGGCCAGAGGGGTCTCCTTTGTGCGTCTTCACAACGCTAGACAGTATTTCTTCACGGTATGAACTTTATGCTCCAGAGCGATGTGGAGTGGAAAAGAAAATGAGCGACGCTGTTTCAGGGCTGTGTGAAAGATAACCCCCTTGAAAAGCGACCCGAAATCTTTGGAATGCGGAAATGTTATGTAGTACGGTATTTAGGATCAGATAAGCAGGTCCCAAAATGCCATGTTAAATGCTCAAATGCCCTTAAAAGTTAAATGTTCAGATCCAAGCGTGACGGCCTGTCACTGAAGTTGCCACCATCACAAGTAGCAGCACTGTCAGCTCTGCCGCTGACATATCGAAGGGGGCGAAGGATATCCAACGTGCTCGCCGTTGCGATGGAATTAGGCAAGCACCAATGTATACCTTTCCCCCTGACATTGCGACACTGTCACTATTCAGGTGCGAGTCTCGGGCACCCAGACTCTCATGACCTCAGTGCAATCGGCGGCCTAGATTCCTATTTCTTGTGCACTTCCTGCGCGGGCAGCCTTCGCCGGCATCATCCGCGGGATATACGTTGGGCAGCATTGTGCTGCCAATATGCAATATTCATCAGGCAACCAGAGAGCCTCAACCACATTGACAAGGGACAGTTCCACAGGAGAATACGGCATCTCTCTTCGAGGAGGTTCATTGAATTTCCTGAATACAAGTTCACGCACGACAATGCCCTGCCCACCTCCACCACGTTGTCCACCACTTCAACAGCACTTCATGCAATTTTCACCTTCTCTCTACCTGCACCCCTGCGTGTCTGGACATGGCCCTGCCTATGCTTCACAAACCCTCTTAGCAACGACCAGACGTTGCATCCAATGGAGCAGCAAATGAGAAACGAAACGGTCCACATCGTGTGCACCCGCGAAGAGTGCGCCAAGGACACAAGGATATCTGTGATTCTCGATGCCAAGGCCAAGCTGTGGGCAGGCCTGTTTGCAACACACGAACCATGACTGTCTCCAGGGGGCAGAGCAAACACAATGGTGCCAGTTGCGGCCAAAAAAGCTAAACAGCAGCATCCTTATAGTGTGCGACCGCAAGCCCACCCCAACCTGACTACGTGCACAAGACAGGGTACTGTTGAAGCGGCGGTCGAAGAACCCTCCCAGCACCCAAAATGTGTTTGACGACATCTAAAGGTCCAGGGCGTGGCATCGAGCGCAATGACACATGGGAACAATCAGCTACTTGTTTAGAAACAATAGGCTGGAAAATGCATTGCTTGCTGACCATTCCACATCAGAGCATTGAGAATAAACACCGGATATCCAGCACAGCACTGCGCTTCGCTGCAACTGGAGCAGCACTGCCTTGCTATTGTTGATTTGCACCAAATGGGACTGTTGACATGAGAAAGCCTGGAAAATTTGTCTGTAATCTGCATACTAGCAGATGCAACATCCGCAGTGCATCCCGTGAACGTAAGAGGCCGACATTGCAGCCACAAAAGCTACAATTCGATCGCATGCGAATTTCGAGACAGCATCCAATATGCCCGCCTTTTCAAATTGATTTATCATATCCTTGAGAAAATAATCTGTACATTGACAATCCAGGTTGCTACTGCATCGACAACGGATGACGGTAAACACCACACCGCAACAACAACCGCCACCACCACAGCATTATATCCAGGCGCACGTCATCCACGCAGAAGATATCTACGTACCTTGGAAATCGGCTTTCCAGCTCCTGCTGTTGGCTTGTTGACCAGCCAAAATGCTCCAGAAAAGACTCCAGCTGGCCTTTTTGCACTGGATGCAAATACACCTCTGCTCGTTGACGAACCCACCAATCTGAACTTTTGTTGTGATCGGAAGCAGCTAATTCTAAGCCATCAAGACCCTTTCTCTCGCGACCCCACGATGGCCTTGTAAATTCATACACATACAAGTCTGCCTTGACGTATTGAGGCAGAGATTCTCTGAAGGCTTGATTGAGATCGCTCCCAAGGAGGTCCATCACGGCAGGGGAGCCTGCCGCACGTGACACCCAATAAGTAGTAGAAACCGTAAAGATGAGCGTGTCCACGGTTCCTCCAGAGTCACGCTGCTGAAATCAGTTTCACGCCACTGAAAACGCTGCACGCTCAAACAAATCGAATCTGGCGCAGTGTGAACCAGATTTGGGTGGTGTGATGATTGCAATTTTCGGGTTCGCTGCAACATGACGGTGGAGCCAACTGGCAACTGTGGCGTTACCGCCTTTTGTGAATCCCCAATTAGGGAATCTTCCCTTGCGCCCACAATTAAGTGTCCCACACGTTGCTTTCCCAATAAACTCTCCTCTTACAGATGAAACTCCAAAAATGGGGACCAACCGCGATTTGAAGCCACGGCTATCATGAAGTGGTGCAGGAAGGTATCAATATTTTTCAAGCGTCGGCATGACGCTTCTTCGAAGTTTCTGAGCCTGAGCACTCCGCCACACATCACATCGCACATCGTTCAGTGGCGCAGTTTGTCCACACTGCCGTTAGTCAACTTCCCCAGTCATGCTTGCTACCAGACAAATTGTGGTAGTTTCAGCATCGGCATAAGTCATATCGATTACACCAAACCTGGTGGTACCATAATCGGCAGGAATATGCTGCAGTTTCAAACTTGACAGACCTTCTAACAGTTTCTTCGCCAGGTGGACGCTCCAGGGCGACAGGTGAGCACCCCCCAGTGCAGCAAACCACATCTGCCAATCCAATCGCGGCTGGTGAGGGGCGACCCACGGCGGGGACCTGCCCACGTCACCAGGTTTGTAGCTGAAGGAGTACGGAATCCATGTCGATCCATCGTAGCTTCCAAAAAATTCTACCTGAGCAAATGGCAGACTACACAATGTGAGCGAAAGTAGTCACAGTGGCGTCAAATTTGCACGAAGGAACAGGGCGCTGGGAATTTCGCAGTTGGCTGATTGATAAAACCAACATTTTGGCTTGTACTGGAATACCCTTGCATGGTCCATTGCCTGCAAATGGAGAGCTACTCCATCAGCCATACTCTAGACAGAGCTTCATGCGAATCTTCAGAAGACAACAACGGGCAATTCTTTCCACGCCGGAATTCCAAGGCAAATTGGCAAGATCGACGCACCTCAGGTCTTGCGACTCTTCTGCCTTCACCACTGTCTCCTACACCCGTCATGCGTCTGAACAGTCCATAGCTGGACGCAAGTGACCACCGGGATGCAGAGGCAGCCACGCTTTTCAGCAGGGGCGCCTGACTTTCCAAACGCTGGCCCATGCCGCCATGGTCGAGCACCAAAATGGAGGGAATATTCGCCACGTAGGTACCCAGAACGGCAAGGCAAATAACAGATGACCACAGAGAACGCGCTGCCTAGGGGCGGCAGAAACAGTGGGCATTGTCAGGCCGATTGCACTGGAAAATTTGCTCTAATCATGTGAACTGCGTGCACAGCTTGCCGATGTAGATATCAAACAAAGCAAGTTTGGTCCTCACCAGGAGAATTGTTCCGTGTCACAATGCGCCCCGCACCGTGGCTGGCTTTAGCCTACCCAAATCCGTGGACTAACCTTTGCACTCTGTCTTGCAGGCGTGTCATTTCTTGAGCTGCCAATAATGTCCATGATGGATGCAACAGCGAGGACAACGCCCCAGTATCCGATTGCCCACGGAAGAACAGCCACCACCATTTTCTGCAGTCCCTGTGGAGTCACTCTCAGACGCACATCAAACACAGGAGCGGTGCTTATGGTAAACATGGCAGTTGCTGCAAACGCCAGGGGCAAGATTCCAAGAGCCCATATTGTCCAGCAGGGGTGCTGCTCGGACCAGTGCCGCAATCTCTGGTGCAAGGGCACCGTGCAGGCGCCCTTGTCCTCCTCGACACTGCAGTTTTCTGGTAGTGCTTGTCCAGCGGCAGCATCGGGCTTTGAGATCAAACGTGGACGATCAGAAATTTTCTTCTGACGCCTGACAGCCGATTTTCTCGATTTCGGTTGTCCATCCATGAGGACATCGCTATGCGTGCCTGGTGTTGGGGCAGATTTTGCACCGACGCGCCTGGCGTTCGGCCGTGTTGTGCCTCTCCAAACCGTATCGTCAAAAAGGGAGAGACACAAAGCAATTGTCAAAATGTTGAAGAACGTGTAGTTCCCAGTTAAGATGATCGCCACCTGGTACATACAATCAACCCCTTTCTTTTAGAAGCGCAAGCAAGCCGAGTTTCCGCTCTGTGGCAAGTGACTGGTTGACTTTCGAGGCAACCACAGCTCTAACGCCCCCAGAAGCCTATTGCCTTACGAGACTCTACACTGGCTGTGTGATGACTGTCTCGCACAGGCATTGCAGCATACCTGAAATGAACAAGGTACAAGGAGAGCATCTACCGCATGCGCTTGTTTAGAGTGCCACACGGAATTTTGTCTGTTGTCAGCCAACAATGCTTAAAACACCATGCTTAACTGTGGGTATTCCTGGGAGAACCGCACATGAGAATATGACCTTGTTTGCAATTGGAGCATTCTGTGACATTGCTGCCATTACAAGCTCCCTGAAAGCACTCCTCCAACGCATAGCATTCATTTTCTGACAATTGAGGTGCAATGGATGCAAGGCATACTTGGAGTATTGTGAGTCGAACTGCATGCATACAGCCAGCGTACTTGTGTGCCAGGCCTCCTAAACTCCCACCTGGAACAAAATCTGCAAGGCTGCAGCAAACAGCCTAATTGGGCGCAGGGGCACCAAGATCAGGAATGTTGCTGGAATCTCAACGATGTAGGAGATGGACACCATCAACTTCAGCACAATGTCTGGGAGCTGATGGAAATACCACGCAATAGGGGTTGGAATGCACTGCGTGGCAAAATGATAGTGGCAAGCCGTCAGCGCAAGCCACGTTGGACATAGTGCCTGGATCTTCACCACACCAGACATGAACATGAGTTTGAAAAGGATCCAGCGAAGAAGAAGGACAGCAGATGTGGGCGGCTCTGCTGCAGGCAACTGTCCCGGTGGCCGGGAAAGCCAAACGGACACCCATCCAACCTCACTGATTAAAATGTCCCTGCAGTCAGCAAGCAAACAAGAAAGTGAGAATAGCAATCACGACCCATCCAAATGTGCAGATCACAAACGGTTCTGCGATGAACGATATCCAGGAACGCATATTTCTTCATTCTGTCAGCCATGGCTGAATGTGTTTCATCAAGTACATGGTGCAACGTCCTGCAGCATGCATCTGATTTAACAACTGCTGCTGGTGAATATCCTCAGCATTGCCACATTGACAATCAAATGCAGCTTTGTCAGCAACAATGAATCGCAGATGTCAAGGAAAAGCACCCCTTCAATTTCTGTGACATCAACCCTGAGCAAGTTTGCTGCACTCATCTCCAGTTTGAAGCAGGCAACTTGAGAATAATAAAGCAGCAAGATATGTATAAGAAATCCGGTTTTAAGAATATTGCATACAGTAAGGAACTCCCTACACAAAGGCACCCACCACTGAAATGATAGGAATGTCTGCCCTACATGCACGATGCTGAGGTAGGACAACCACATTCCGAAAACAACCACTTGGTTCCCAAAGCCGACGGATGCTGCCAAAGACAGAACCATTCCCAGCAATGAAACAATGTCCAATGCGACGTCTGCATGAAGACCAAAAGGGAGATGAAACCACATGACTGTGGGATGGCGCATCAGGAGCTCCCATGCTGAGCTGGCAATGGATGCACAAAAACGTCAGCACAAATATGATATTGCAGGCTCCCTAATTCAGAACTCACAGGCAAATAAACCGCATGCCATTTTCCGATGCATGAATCCCAAAGAATGTTAAGTTCATCTTGAGCTTACAAACCACGGTCGTTGCATCTGCCAAGCGATCTAACCCATTCTTGATGACACCATCATAGCATTATAACAGTGAGTGCCTTAAGTACCTGGAACATGATTGTCATATGTAAGCCAATCAGGTTGCGAGGTCGTATTTCAAGTCTATGCAGGCAAATTCAGTGGCTGGGTTTAGCAACAGGCTTTTCTGAACTGTTCACAGCTGTCCACGTCAGATTCGAATCTGCAACTCCTGCAATCACAATATTGCATCGCTTTCTCATCGCGCTACCTGAGTCAGAAGGGGACTGTACTTACGGTGCTATTCAAGTGAATTTCATCTCACTCTGCCTTGCATTTCTGCACTGGTTGCAAAGAACCAAGTGTCCAGGATGGGATGTGCGTGGTTGTATGGAATCACAGCCAACTGAAGTCTTGGCAAAATCCCAATCTTTGATCAAAGGGAATATGGAAGGCCTTAAAGGAGAGCCCGCATCAAGCGACCAGCCACAGGGAAGTTAAATGTAACATGGGACAAACGCCCAGGCAGAGAACTTCCAGATCGTTATCACTGCATTCACAAGTGTAAACGAGGCTATGTCTTGATGGAATTCTACTGCTTGAATACCGGCTTGAAAAAGTTCGTTTTGCACACGTCAATAAATGATAATGAGCTGAATTAGAACATATTCTGCCTGGAATCAAGGTCCTGGTTGCAAATGGGACTTGCATAGCATAAGATTCCTGCATAATGGTAGTCTGCTGCAAAAACCGTGAAAAGGCAACGATGAAGTAATCTGTAGGGTCCTGTCACTGGCCCATGCCAATGGCTGCATTGGTTGACATTAGTAGACAGCACCTGTGCAAACCTGCGTGTATATCAAACCAAACTGGTAAGGAAAGAGACAGATGGAGAGCATCAAGATGAAAAGCTTTTGGGCATACTAGACCATTCTTCTGACCACTGAATGAATGCAATTCGGTGCTGATAGCACAAGTTACAAATAGTCCCAGCGACCAAGTGTCACTGAACCTGTCAGGCGGTTTGTGTGCGCATTTGCAGGTTGTTCCAGCACAGTTGATACTATTAGAATTGTGATGATGGAATTGTGCCCGTTGTGTGCAGGTCATGAGCTTGCTACGTGCTGTGTGGTGCTTCCAGTGACTGTCAGTTGCTTCAGTTTGGAGACCACGTCTCTGGCCAACAGGAGTTTATCTCTTGTTAGGTGCTGATACGGATTGGGCATCGTGACATTCTTGCAAGACTCTCCTTGACGACCAAACTGTGTTTTGTGCGTGGCCTTGAGAACGGATGGGAGAATGCCTCGCATTTCACAATGCGTTTCCTAAACCTACTGAGGTGCAGCTCCTGAATTGAGGATGGATCGATGTCTGCCTCCATGCTGGACACATACTCTCACCTCCAATTGTTTGCTTTGATCTGCATGGTATTCCTCAACCGTTCCAGATACATGGAAACAGGCTCCAAGCCATCGGATCCAAAAAGGCCAGGTGCCTGCACAAAGATGCTGCAGAATGCCACCAGATAGATGAACCCCAGGGTTCTCACAAACACCTGCACCCGAGCATGTCTCACTCAGCAACCATATTTGACCCCATCTAAGTATGGGCAGGAGGTTAGGCAGGGAGGTTGGCCCAAATTCCAAGGCGACTGCATTTCTTTGCATTTCTGGCAAATGTGCAAGATGGGCCCACGCAGCCAGCTGGAGCAAATGATGATTGTACGATGCACGAAATAGATCAGCTGTTGCCTTCAAATTTGTTGTGCACCAGGAATCCGGGACACAGGTGGAATTGATGAGCGTGGCACCTGTGTGCCTGCCCCAGCAATGGGACTGAAGAACAGGACTGCACTGAAACAATGACGTGTTTGCGTACATTGTGGTTCCCAGGAGACAGCCAAGCAGTGCTGGCACATGGGCCTGGGAAGATCGCAGATCCATCAATCGCCCACTGTTTAAGAAGGTACAAGCAGAGAAACCACAGAAGCAAGACAGAGTTGCAAGTTCACTGTGGTTAAAGGAACCTCACTGTGGAAAGCACAGTCACCCAGCATGAAACTTTGGCAAATTCACAAATTGTTCGTCAGTGGGATATTTGCCTTGTTGCAAACAATGAAGAGGTCTCTGGCAACCGAGACAGGATGCTGGGGCCACTGTCACAACCCGGCCGCAGAGAATTCTGAAGCAACAAGCACGGCTCGCCGGAGAGAACTCTGAATCAGTAATCACAACTCGTACAGACATTGGCGAGGAGCAGTGGGGATTGGATCCCAGGTGCGCAGACACGCTACCCTGTTCTGTGGCCACACCGATGATCCAAGGGGTACCATTGCCACAGAACACCTTTGAGCGCACACCGCTAATCCAAATCCTGTCTCCCAACGTTGCCGAAAGCCAGCTCTTGTTGCTTATTCGCTGTCAGGTGATCTCCACGAAGTCTGGGGGCCTGCTGTCCGACGGTTTCTGTGAATATCAGCGAAGCGTGTTCGTGTGGTCGCGTTCGGGTAGAAGAAAAGCCAGCCCACCTCGCGTGTGAGCGCAAGCGACGTCTTCAGGGGTTGCCTACAGCTCGGCATTTTGCGTCGGCCACTCTGGCACACCGCAAATGCGCGGCGGAAGACGCTGAACCGCGACGGGGTTTACTGCTTGACTGGTGCGGTGGCGGCCCTTGCCTGGGGCGAGGACCACAGCAGCAGACTTCGATGCCAACTCGTCGCCCATCCTTGCAGCCACCCAATAACCAGTCCGCCACAAATACCCTGCTGGGCATGAGTCACTGACAGCAATTATGTGCAGCAAATGTGTGCAATATTTTCATTGTTTCGGAAAAGAATATTTAAGGAAGAACATTTATATTTTGTGTTTGAGTATTTAAAACTATTAGGGATGGATGCATTGTCCATCGGGAAAGGGTCGATCAATGGGTTTTGAGCCCAATGGATTACGTTGCTTTAGCATTAATTTTGGTGGGAGCAACGAACCTGCTTGAAGCAATGAGCAGAATGCCAACCCTCCAAACCCTGCGCACGCACAGTCAACCTACCAAATTTCATGTGATATGCCAGTTTGTTTGGCCAATGTTCATGATTTTTTTCCAAAGGCGGTCACTATGACTGTTGTGACGTGGCTTGGGGTTTCGGCTTATTTGCCATTTCTGGAGTGGTAATTACGTAATTGGCTAAATGTACCTTTTGGCGGCGTTTTTTAGAGCTTTCTGGTTCCAACGAGCTTTTAAACGCCCGATTCCGTTAAGAAACGGCGAAGATATGGCCTCCTGAAGTCGTAGTACTTAGGGCCAGGGGGTCGGGTGTTAGACGCTTGGAATTAGAGAACAATGGGTCGATCGTAGGTGAACGGTGGATGGTGACTGGGTGCCTAGACGCGCACATGAGTTGTCTTGTCTTGATGCGACAGCGATGGACCCGCGATCGGGCATCGCGCATGCGATATGTGCGCGCGCATGCTGTAGAGGTGGCCACCCGGATCCGTTAATAGCGGACGGGGGCTGCCGTCCGCTAATATCCGTTAATTTAGCGGACTCCGCCCTCTCTGTTGCTGACGTGGCATGGATGGCAGCGGACGGCTGGCCCCAATCAGTGGACTCTGCGGATTCCGCTTGGGTGTTAATGGATATTCTCTTACGGACCGGAAGCCACGTACCCCATCCGCTAATCTAGCGGATGACAGCGGACGTGTGTACCGAATCAGCGGATGACAGTAGAGCCCATGCAGTAAGTACTGATTTCAGAATCTGCGGATCGGGTTGATTGCCAGCGTGGCTCAGCCAGGGTCCACATACAGCGGACCTTGGCTGTGACTGCGCACATATTTTGTTGCCCTCCTGTTGCCATCCGCCGTGTCCAACCCCCCTGCCGCCCCACGCTTGGTTCATGGACCCAACAGGTGAGGCATACCGCGCTCTCCTGCTTCAAGCCACAGCATGGGCAAGGCAAGGGGATGCCATTAGTACCGCCGCCATGGCGGGAAATGCCGGGCCGCGCTGGGGAAGGGGGGTGTCGGATGATCTGTTGGCTGAAAACCTGTGTGTGGCCGGATTCAATCCGCCGGTGATGCACAGGCATAGCACGCTATCCTGTTTTGTGGCCAGGGCAATGCCTGATACCGCTATTGGCGGGAGGCTGAACGTGGGGAATTGTTGTTGGGGGTCTGGATTGCTCATTGGTGAAAACCTATGTGGCGGATTGTCTATGCTTGTGTCTGCTTGAGCATAGCGCTATCTGCTTTAATGGCCAGAACGTACCCACCAGTACCGCCTATTTGTGGCGGAAATTCGGGCGTGGGGAGGTGTTGTTGGGGGTCTCAGATGATGCTGCTGGCGAAAACCTGTGGCGGATGCCGTCCGCCCGGTGTCTACGAGCCGCGGCTATCACCTTTGTGGCGGGGCAATGCCACCGGTACCGCATGGTGAGAGGCTGGGCGTGATGGGGGTGTTAGAGAGAGGAGTCTCGGATGATCTGTTGGCTGAAAACCTGTGTGTGGCCGGATTCAATCCGCCGGTGATGCACAGGCATAGCGCGCTATCCTGCTTTGTGGCCAGGGCAACGCCCTCAATGCCGCCTGCTGTGGCAGGAAATTCCGGGCCGTGGGGGGTGGCACATGGCCACCAACCTAGTGGCACATGGGCGGGTGGGAAGATCATGGCCGGGGATTGAGTTCACTCCGGGATTTTGCCTGCAACCCTCACCAGTTGTGTTACTGTATTCACAGAGTCCTCAGGCGCTACCAATGCTAAAACGGAAAACAAGCAGGGGCGCCTTAAACACGATGGACGTGTAGGTGCGGTGGACGTGTACCTCTGTGTAGCAAGCCTGAGTGCCGCCTATTGTGGTTGTGTGCTGTGGTTGGTGGCAGTACCCGCCGTCACATGACTGGGGAAACCTTGGCAGTTCGTTCCTTCCATGTGGCCATGCATTGCACAGGGTGCACCACTTGTCGCTGCAATACCCATCGTCTTTGCTTAGATGCCACCAGCATTATTTGGCAGTACCCGCCGCCACCTGGCTGGGGAAATCTTACCAACTTTTTACTTTTATTTGGCTGCACACTATACAGGGTGCGTTATGTGTCGCTGCAATACCCATCGCCTTTTTTTTCCTTACGTGTCACCACCATTTTGTGGCAGTACCCGTTGTCCCCTGGCTGGGGAACCTTAGCAATTTGTTCCCTTTATGTGGCCGTGCATTGTTCAGGGTGTGTTGCACGTCCTGCAATACCCTACGCCTTTCTTTGCTTAGATACCACCACCAATATGTGGCAGTACCTGGCATCAGCTGCCTGGGGAAGCCTTCCCATTTTGCTCCTTTTACTTCGCTGTGCATTGTACAGGGTGTCCTGTATGTCCCTGCAGTACCCATAGCCTGTTTTTCCTTATGTGGCATGACCATTTTGTGGCAGTACCCGCCGTCACCTGGCTGGGGAAACCTTGGTAGTTCATTCCTTCCATGCAGCCGTGCAATGTACAGCATGCACGAACTGTCCCTGCAATACCCATCGTCTTTTTTTGCGTAGGTGCCACCACCATTATTTGGCAGTACCCGCCGTCACCTGGCTGGGGAAACCTCATCCCTTTCAGGGGGCCGTGCATTGTACAGGGCGTGCTGCATTTCCCTACAATACCTATTGTCTTTGCTTTGGTGGTACCACCAGTATGTGGCAGTACCTGCCATCACCTGGCTGGGGAAACACTGTATTCTGTTCCTGTGTTAGGTCGGAAGCGGCCCCTGAACAGGGGGCCAACGTTACAACAATGGTCGAAAGCGCCGGCACAGACACAAGAGGAAGGGGGGAAGGAGACGTGCAGGGGTGAAAGTCAGGCAGCGGATAGAAGCTACATGTGGTCGGGAAGCTGAGCGCGATAGGGAAGCTCTAACAGATAGATTAGAGGAAATACAAGAAGCGGGGTTGGGTGGCCTGCCCTCGGGGGTGTGGCGGCCCATACAGGACCACCTCGCCCCCAAGGACCAGGCCCGATTAGCCGTCGTAAGCGGATACATTAATAACGCATTGGGGGGGGGGCAGAAGGGGCACGGTTGCGAAAGGAAGAACACGAGAGACAGACCCCCCCCCCAGTCTTGGGGAGAATGGCGCAAGCGTCGCAGGCAGGAACGCAAACAAGTGGATATGAATCGCCGGGCTGCTTATAAAACATGTCAGTGCGTGGCTATCATAGATTTGGTGCTGCGCCGGGGGGAACACATGGTGGGGTACAAGTCTATTAGCAGAAAATATAGAATAACTGAACCGTCGCTAAGACGCCTGGAAGAAAGACTCGTTGAAGACGATTTTTTTTCACAGGTTGGGTGGGAGTTCAATGTCATGGACTCCGGCCTCCTAACAGGGAGTGACACGGAGACTTCCTCCGATGGGGATTAGTTTTTTTTAAACAAAACAACTTGTCTGATTGTGAGGTGAAGTCCAAGTACCGCCTGCCACCGGCGAGGAAGGTGACATTCACTGAATAGTCCATGGTTGTGAGACGCTTTTCTGCCTTTATTTCACACAAGAAAATGTCCCCAGACCGTCCTTGTAACATCTGAAATCCGTCGTCGAATATATGTTGCCTCGGTTATTTATGCAATGGACGTGTGCGCCAGGCTCTGTTGGCGGCGATGGTGGTGTTGACCTCGCAGCATTTGTTGCTGAGCGAGGAGTCCCAGACGCACATGATGTTGCTGTTGGGAGGGGTGTGTTGAGCTCTGCGGACACTGATTCGCTTGGAGGTGCATCGCCAAGTTCGAGTGTCGTTGTGGTGGAGGATGTGCCACAGCGCAGGGCCAAGAGAAGGCGTCTGACCACCCCCAAACCGCTTGCCATGGCTGTTGATGTGCGGACTCCACACAAGCAACAGCAAACACTAACTGAAGCAAAGCAGTCCACGTGCATGGTGGCGACCTTGGAGGAAGGGTCGCCGAGGACACGCCGCAAACAACGCCACCGCAAAGGGGATCCAGGCCACCAGGAATGGTGTAGAGAGGGGTTTACTGTAGACGAGGTGCAAGGGCCCGACAAGAGACCACGTTCCATTACTGCTGTTTGCCGGTTGTGTTATGGGAGGGGCATTACCAAGACATACAAAGTGTTGTCGTACAACCCGGGAAAGAAGAACTCAAATAGTGCCAGTTGGACGGGGCCCTCAAACCATTTGAAAGAGAAACATAGTGTTTTCAATATTGAGGCACTTCGAGACAAACTTAGTAATCCTATGGGCAACCAGCAGATGAAATTGGGTACATCGTTGGAAACCTACCTGGAGACATGGCACCCTAGGACCTTAGAATGGAACAGGGCGGTGACCCACATGGCCAGGTACGTCAGTTTCGCTAATGCACCATACCACCTGGCTGAGACGGCGCCCTTCGTTCGTTTAATGCAAGCCTTTATTCCCCGTTGGCCATCTATTAGTAAGCAAACAATTGTGAGGTTGGTTGCGAGACAGGCCAATGACATCAAGCGGGAAATAAGGGAAGAGGTGTCCCAAATCCGAGACGAGTCCAGAGTTGCCATGACAGCGGACATTTGGACAAGCAGGTGCACGGACCCGTATATAACAGTGATA